TTTTAGAGAATGAAGCTAATATTATTGAAATACCAGTTTTACAATGAGGTTAATTATTTATTTTTCATTTGTTTTAATCTCTTTTAGGCTTGCTGGCTGTAATATCACTGCTCAGTGTTGTAAGAGTTTGTCATCAGCTCTACAATCCTCAAACTCTGTCCTGAGAGAGCTGGATCTGAGTAACAATGACCTGCAGGATTCAGGAGTGAAGCTGCTCTCTGATGCACTGAAGAGTCCAAACTGTCAGCTGCAGATACTGAGGTGTGAAAGAAAAAGAAAATTTTTCTAGCACTAATATATGTAGAATATTTAGCACTAAGTTTTTTTTTTTAATATATATATATATACTTTTTTTTCTTTCATTTTAGCACACTTATTGATGTGGTTCCATCAGTTCCACTTTGTGCATTAAACATACATTTTCAAACGTTGTTGTAATCAGGGTATTTTTGTAGATTTAGAGACATTAACAGATGGACGTGAGTTTTCCTTTTTTTATCAGACTGTTTTGTGTGTTTGTAGGTTGTCTGGCTGTATGGTGACAGAGGAAGGCTGTGGTTATTTGTCTTCAGCTCTGAGTTCAAACCCCTCACACCTGAGAGAGCTGGATCTGAGCTACAATCACCCAGGACCATCAGGAGTCCAGCTGCTCAAACACAAACTGGATGATCCAAACTGCTCACTGCAGATACTCAAGTATGTCAGGCAGTTATGCAATCTGGGTCAACTAAGAGTGGTCTCAGGTAACACAGAAACCACAGACCACTTTAACAGTGAGCTGACTGTTACTCTCCATTCCTGGAGAAATCTCTGGTATTTCTCATGTGAATCTATGTGAGAAAAATATTTTTTTTTGCTGTTGGTCGAGACTGCCTCTTGACCAAAGGCCTTGTAGTTTGTGCACCTCATTAGGAGTGTGTTGTTTAGTTTGAGTGTTGCTATGTAAAGAACACAACAGATGGCAAGAAACTTTGTGTAGTGAGATTCAAGAAAACAAGCATATACTGACAAACCAACACAGCAAACACTGGGGCTTAAATTTACAGGATCACTAGATAACCAAGACCAAGGTGAGAATAGTGAGGGACTGATGAGGAAATCCAAAATAACCACAAAAGACAAAATGTGCTAATTTAATTAGTCTTCCCTCATACCATAACATTTTTGTTTGTGTGTATGTTTTTGTCTCTGTTCAGTTTTGACCATGAAGGACATTTCAGAATTTAGTATAAGTAAAATACTTAAGTACTGTTAAAATCAGATACTCTAAGACTTTTACTCAAGTTGTTTTGGAATTGGTGACTTGTAACGTGTAGTGGAGTAATTTTCACTGTAAGGTATCAGTACTTTTACTCAAGTATGGTTTTTAGGTACTCTTTACACCTCTGGTCGCAGTGTTGTCTTTCTGTCATTATTTCAATTAACTAGTGATTAAAAATGATTATATTTTACATATATTATTAACTATAGTACTGTAGTGTTGCAGGTTAACTGTATATGATTGTAATTAAAGGGGTCATATGATGCAATTTAAATTTGTCCTTTCTCTTTGGAGTGTTACAAGCTCTTGGTGCATAAACAAGATCTGTAAAGTTGCAAAGATTAAAGTCTCAAATCCAAAGAGATATTCTTTATAAAAGTTAAGAGTCAGCCATGCCTACCTAAAACGGCTCATTCTGACACGCCCCCAAATGTCTACGTCAGTGGTTCCAAAACCTGTCCTGGAGGACCCCCTGCCCTGCACATTTTGTATGTCTCCCTACTCAGACACACCCAATTTAGTTCTTGCAGTCTCTACTAACGAGCTGATGA